TCCCTTCTCAGGATAGTCCGGCTAGTGGTGATTCTGAGAGACTGGGCAAACAAAAGCTTGCGGGAAGAGCAGCAAAGGCCAGACTCCTTCCTTGAGCGATTCCATGGGCCAGAACTGCATACAGAGGATGGTAACGAGCAAGGGGACAAACATGGTGAAGGCAGCAAAAGCAAGAAGTATGGTTTCATTTTCATAACCCTTTGCCTTTCTCAGTTGGAGGCCAAATGTTTTGTGTGTGTTGCAGGACTCCTCACCCGCCTGATGTGCTTCTTGCTGTCACACCAAGGGCCATCAGGGAGAGGACTCTCTGTCCTGGCACTAAAAAGGGGGTGGCATGGTCTTGATGGTTTAGCGTGGTGACTGGAGTCACCTTCTGTGCTATGCTGTGCTAGGGGATCATACCCAGTAGGTTAACACCATTTTTGAATAATTGGGGCCAAGGGTCTTAGTGACTGCCAGCTGCTTCCGAGTGTATATACAGATTTCTGTACCAGTGTGTACCTGTACCCACTGTCAAGCCAAAAGGAACCCTTGCACCATGGTTCTGTTCTAGACCCTTTCAATTACAACCTTTCTGTGCCATGCCGATGGTGCTGGGCATGGGCACAGTGCCTTTGGTGCAGGGATGAGGAAGAACTTTAAAGGGTAAGCTGTGTTTCCCCCATTTTTTACATGAAGAAGCTGTGGCCTAGAACAGTAATTTTTCAGCCTTTTATTGTATAATGACCCCTTCTCCATCCTTCCCCTACCAGGACTTCCCTCCAATAAGGCCAGGACCCTTTCCCATTAGTAGGCTAAAAAAGGTGGTTGTGACCTCTTGACACCTGTTTATGAATATGAATGAGAGCCCCAGGTAGGAAACCCCTGGTTTGGAGTGCATGAGTTTGGTCCCGACTCAGATAGGGAGTCTGTAGAGTGTCTGAAATGGATTCAAGTCAACAGCCAGGATCACACTGCAGCTATTAGGCCAAGCTCTGACCAGGAATAATTACATCTAGAAGGGATTCCCAAGGGGTTTGCAGGACTTAGTTACCCATCTGATGCTGTATTTGCCTGTCTGATTTCATCATCTGTGGGAGAGGAAGGGATTTCATTCGCTGCTGAGCCTTCTGCTAGAGCATACGTTGTGATGGTTGTTCTTTGAAAAGTCCTTTCATATCCAGTCCTTTCATCTCCACTGCACTTGGACACAGTGAAAAACAATAACCTTGCTCTTCTTCCTCTCTATAATTAAAGGGCAGAGCTCATTGACTAGTCTGGCCCCCACCATTGTACATGGTAATTACAACACCAAGAAAGGACTGTCTTCTATAGGGGGAAAATTATCAGAGGCTTGTATCTGAGGCTTTAACAGCCAGAGAAGAAAATGTTCTGCCCTGTGAGGTTAAGGATAGCTTGTTAATTATCAGAGGCAGTAGACTCTGAATGAGCAGAGGGAGATGGAATAGAAGTATATATGCTGAACTGGGTTAGTATGGTTTTGCAGCCTCAGTGAGCTTTTAATAGGAAGCTGCTAATTTTCTGAGGTTTGGTCTCCAGGATAATATTTGTCTGCTGCTTTAGGTCATGCCTCAATGAAGTTAAACATCAACATGTTACAGGATGTGAAGGCAAACGTAGTGGTTGTTCAGTGTTTGCCAGCCTGGGGTTATTTTGAAGATCGTATGCAGGTTATCCAGGCAAAGGACTGTAAATTCAGGGCTATCCTGAACAATGCAGGACGGGTGACAGTCCTACCCAATGGCTAGGTTGGTTAGGATGATGACTAACACTGAGATTTGTTTGGGTCTGATTGGAGTAAACCCTCTCACATCTTAGATGCATGTGAAAGTTCCATGTCATTGTAACTCCAGGTGCAATGCCATGCCAGACTTCTGTGCTTGAAATCCTCAGTGTATAGGGGAGATTTGTGCAGAGGGGGCTTTCAGGACCAGGCTTAAAGATAGCACCATGCAAAAACAGACAGCTGACTTTATTCCTTCATTTCATCTTTAACCCTGCTTCCAGCTTCCAATGTGTTTGTGTCCTTATATCACAGAGAGCAACTCCATGGTCTGATTCTGTGATAACACTGATGCCCTCTGCTGTATACATTTAAAAACAGCATTTAGTAGTATTTGTATTACTACAGTGACTGGAGCAGTAATTCTCAACCAGGGTGCCATAGCAGCCTGGGGTGTTTTGAAATCCTTTCAAAGGTGTCACAGAGTGCCACACAATGTTAGCACTGTTAGGTGTGAAAACATGTTTCACAGGATAAATCTAGAGATTTCAAAAAGGAATCTGTAGTGTCTCAAACATTCTGACCTCCTGTGGGTTTTCTGAGTTCTTTGCCACAGAGGAATTGCTCTACTAATTTTTTCTATAGTCCGAAAACAAGTAAAAGCTAAGAGCTAGCAATTTCCAGTGGTGCCTTAAGTTTAATGAGGGGTGCCTCTAATCTAAAAAAGTTGAGAACCGTTGGTTTGGATCTGGACTTGAAATGAAAGTTCCTCTGTTTTAGGTGCTGTATAAGCAGTGATAGGAGACAGACTACTTCTCTGAGAATAATGCAAGCTATTTTGAACCCTGCTCATCTTTGATTAGTACTACTGAAGGACCACTGTGTGTGGCCATGTAGGAGCCTTGTCTGACAGCTCTGCTAAATGCACTGATCCCAGAAGTTGCAGCATCCCTGCTGGTGACAACCATGCCATACCAAAGAAGTAAACCAAAGTTAAAAACTGCAGTTATGGAGGCAGGAGAAGCAGCACTGATGAGGGAGGGGCATGGCATTTTAATAAGAGCTGGCAAATGAGTGTGTTCCATCTCTGGGAGCAAGCTCTGCAGTCTAAGGTGTGGGGAGTTTTTGAACGTGACCATTAGGGCAAATCCAGGATTTGCCTTAATGCCCCAAAATAGGATCAAATGCATGGAAACCGTGTAAGAGCTGGACCCAGCCACTCAGCAAGCAGACTGCACCCTTCCCCATGGCAGCACCATGTGCTTCCCCCAGCAGTACAGAGATCTATTGCACTTCCTGCCCTGATTACTGTTAGTTGTGAGCTACCTCAGAGCTACATCTATCATGTACCATGTCTGCATTGTCTATCAGAGGGCCTTTTTTAGTGATTTGAGTAGGAGCCTGGGAACCAAGAGAGCCATATTCTGTTCCTGACTGTCACTGACTTGCAGCGAAGTCCTTGTGACCTCTTTCATGTTCCCCATCAGTTAACATAGTGCATAGGTGCTTTACCTACATCAAGAGGGAACTGGGTGAAAAGGAGTTTAATTGATGAACTTCATCAAGTACTTAGCATTCCTTAGATGGAAGGCACTCAGCACTCATTATTATAATGATTAAACAGAGTTGTAGTTAAGGGTCTTTGCTCCATTATCAGTGTGCAGTCTTCTAGGTCCTGGTTCTCTCTGGTTCTATTTTCAGGAAGAAATGGATGGTGTTTGTGGTGGATCCTTCTGGGGACTGGTATTACCGCTGGCTGCCTGTCATTGCACTACCCGTCCTTTATAACTGGTGCTTGCTTGTGGCAAGGTAAGCAGGAGGCCTTCCAAGGTCATGCTATTCTGTAATCCTTCTGTCTCATTGGGTGCTTTCTTTGGGACCAGTCTTGGGCAGCTGGGATCAGTCTTGGGCATGCTGCTTTTTTTAGGCTAATAAAAACAAAGTCCCAGTTTCATTGGTGTCATGGCAGTGGAAAGGGGAACCCAATTCCATTGTGTTTTGACACACATGGGTGGAACTTGTGAGAATGGAATTTGGAGGGTTGTAGAGACAGATTAGACTGTAGGATAGGGACCCCCATTTGAGAGGCAGTTTCAGGAACATCATTACCTAGATCAATGGAGGGCAGATGTTCTAAAAGGTGATAGATTTAATTTCCAAAGGGAAAGGGGATGGTTAGCAATTGTCAAAAGTCAGTTGTGCCTGCTATGGGCACTGCTTTGTACAGCAGCCCTGGAACCACCCCATTAGGAGGTAGGACTTGGGGGGGAGGGCGAAATGGGTGCGCTGACTTTGGTAACTGGATAATACTCTCTCTCTTTCTGACCTCTATCATGTGGTTCTCCTGCAGAGCCTGCTTTAGTGATCTCCAGAGGGGCTACTTCATCCTCTGGCTTGTGCTGGATTATATCTCGGACTGCATCTACATTGCTGATATTATAATCCGGTCACGCACAGGTGAGCTGAAGAGACAAAGACCAAGAAGGATTTTCTTCGATATCGTCACATAAGATCTGATTCGACCTGTCAGGGGGGAGCTTGCTCTGTGGCTGTTCTAGAAGGAGGGCCTTCAGTGATGCCTTGGAGCTAGCTGACAGGGACTAGCCCCCAGAGAAAGAATTTAATTAAAAGCTCTGAGAACTAGAGTAAGTTTCAGAATGAAAGATTAATCATCCCAGATTTTAGCTTCACCTTTGAGTAATTGTACAAAATTACCCACATTACCATTAGTATTCTGGCATGGTTTAAGGTCTGTATCTCTGATGTGGTATCTGTGAAGTTAATGAACAATCTGAATGGAAAAATAGTAGAATTTAATATTCTTAGGATGTAGCAGGCTGCTGTGTAAATATTCTGTGCTGTATTAATTCAGGTTCTGTGGAGGATGGAAACTTCAGTGTCTTCTTAACATATATATATATATATATATAGCATTGGTCAAAGGCAGGAGAACAAATGAACAAATGTAACTGAACCAAGCTAATTCTACCCTTTGCGTTTCTGTTAGGTTTCCTGGAACAGGGCTTGCTGGTCAGGGACCTTAAGAAGCTGTGGGATAAGTATGTCCAAACTTTGCAGTTCAAGCTGGACATCCTCTCTGTCTTGCCTACAGACCTGGTGTACTTTGCAGTGGGAATCCATCGGCCTGAGCTGCGCTTCAACAGGCTACTCCACTTCTCCCGCATGTTTGAATTCTTTGATCGGACTGAGACCAGGACTAGCTACCCGAACATCTTCAGGATTAGCAACCTGGTGCTGTACATCCTGGTCATCATCCACTGGAATGCCTGCATTTACTATGCCATCTCTAAGTCCATTGGCTTTGGGACAGACACCTGGGTGTACCCCAACATCACAGACCCTGAGTACGGGTACCTCAGCCGGGAGTATGTCTATTGCCTCTACTGGTCCACTCTGACTCTGACTACTATTGGAGAAACTCCTCCTCCAGTGACCGATGAGGAGTACCTCTTTGTCATTGTTGATTTCCTCATTGGTGTCCTCATTTTTGCCACCATTGTCGGGAATGTGGGCTCCATGATATCCAATATGAATGCTACCAGGGCAGAGTTCCAGGCGAAAATTGATGCCATCAAGCACTATATGCAGTTCCGCAAGGTCAGCAAGGAAATGGAGGCCAAGGTCATCAAGTGGTTTGATTACCTATGGACCAACAAGAAGGCAGTAGATGAACGTGAGGTCCTCAAGAACCTCCCTGACAAACTGCGGGCAGAGATTGCCATCAATGTGCATTTGGAGACACTGAAGAAGGTGAGGATCTTCCAGGACTGTGAATCAGGCTTGCTGGTAGAGTTGGTGCTGAAACTTCGGCCTCAGGTGTTCAGCCCGGGGGATTATGTTTGCCGAAAGGGGGACATTGGCAAGGAGATGTACATCATCAAGGAAGGGAAACTGGCTGTGGTGGCAGATGATGGAGTGACTCAATATGCCTTACTGACCTCAGGACTCTGCTTTGGTGAGATCAGCATTCTCAACATTAAAGGGAGCAAAATGGGCAACAGACGCACAGCCAACATCCGAAGTCTTGGCTATTCTGATCTCTTCTGCCTGTCTAAGGAAGACCTAATGGAAGCAGTCACTGAATATCCTGATGCTAAGAAGGTGCTGGAGGAGCGTGGCCGGGAGATCCTGATGAAAGAAGGGCTGCTGGATGAGTCAGAAGCTGAGGCAAGCCTGGAAGGGAAGGAAGTGGAGGAAAAGCTGGATCGGCTGGAGTCCAACCTGGAGACACTGAACACCCGTTTTTCTCGAGTGTTGTCCGAGTATAATACTGCTCAGATGAAGCTCAAACAGCGCATCTCTGTTTTGGAAAACAAGATGAAACAGGAGGTTCCAGATGACATCTTTGATGGATTAGACACACCTGTGGAGGATGAGGAAGGAGCCAAATCTGATGGGAAGAAGTGAGAATCTGTAGATGTCAGCCCCTGCTCTGTTCTGCAGGGTGCAGACATGGCATTTGCTGGTTTCTGTGTTTCAAGAACAAATTACTATCTGCCTTGCGTTGCATGAGACTTCTCAGTGTCATAGAAGTGTTGCTGTTGCTGCCTTGTGTGAGCGCTCTCTAAAACAGTTCCAAATCAGGTGACTCTTGTAGCTCTTACAATCTACCCTACTGCCTTAATCCATGGCCTAAGAATCAGATCAGTCAGAACATGAGTGACCTCTGCTGCTGCTAACATTTCTGTCCAACTTCTGCAAGGAGTATGTGCTCATCTTACCTTCTTGCCTCCTCCTTGCATTAATAGATAGCAGGAGCTCATCAACTGAATGTCTTATATGTAGGAGTTAGTGGAGACACCTGAGCCCCTCTTATGCGTAGGTGGGGGTGCAATAACTTTGATGTAGACAAAGGTCTCACTTGTTCACTTTGCTTTCCCTAATGGGCTGATCAGGAGGATGCTCTTTAGAGGACCAGCATCCCAGGAGCTAATAAGCAACAGAGAGAGAGAGAGAGAGAGAAATTGAACCATCAGCCAGATGCTTATTTAATGTATTTTTGGTAACTGCTTTTGTAATACACACTTATATTATGTAAATATATATTTTCCACTGTATGATCACATATGTTTAAAATACTAAAACCGAAATGAAGAAGTTATACCAAGCCTTATGCTTCTGTGAATAGAATGTTTTTCTGGTTCAGTGTAGGTTATTGACATTACTTCTGAAAGTAAAGACTTATGATAAATGTAGGTGAGGTAACAGCAACCTATTCCCAGGCTTAATCTGTGGTTTAGTCTTTCAAAAGCATCTTCCTCAATAGGGAAAAATATTCTGTAGTGTTGTGCTGTATTAGTACCTTGTCCATCAGCTTCCACCCGAGGAGCAAAGTTTCTGGGTGTGTTTCTAAGATACTCTGTTCTCTCTCTGCCTGGTTACAGTGGCAGCTTAAATTTTGCTTGGGATATCAAAGTCTAGGATGACATCTACAGTATAGTGGTTAAAACAAGCGTGCTTTGGGCTGACAGGACCTGTTACTTTACGTGCAGGACAACATTGACTGTCTGTCTCTTCTGTCTAACCATGACTAGACAGGCCAGAAAGGGCTATACTATACTAACGTAATTTAAAGAAAGAAAGCTGTGGTAAGGCCAAACTGTCTGAATTTATTTTACAGGGGGTAAATTGCAGTGTTAGCAGGGCTCATTTATAGATTTCATAGATTTCATAGACATTAGGGTTGGAAGGGACCTCGGAAGATCATCGAGTCCAGCCCCCTGCCCAAAGGGCAGGAAGTCAGCTGGGGTCATAGGATCCCAGCAAGATAAGCATCCAGTTTGCTCTTGAAGGTGTTCAATGTAGGCGCTTGAACCACCTCCGGTGGCAGGCTGCTGCTACCCCCACATTTGGAGTGTGTCTACACAATGTCCTCAGCATTCCCTGCTTACCCACTCCCATTTGCATGTGCTGAACCCAGAACTGTGCCAGTAAAGCTGCTCTGGGGGTATCCTCCTCCCCTTCCTCCCCCTCCCCTTACCAACAGCCCTATGTGAGAACTCCAGTTCCCATATACTTGAACTTGACTGCAGTGGTTATCCCCAGAACACCTTCACTGCCATATTTTGGGGGGTGTGTGAGTGAGGGGTAGTAAATAGTAGGATTCACCTAAGTGGCTCTCAGAGGACATGGTATAAACAGGCTCTTATATTCCCCTGGGGGGGGCGGGGATTAATTGTGTTCCCCTTCACCAAGAAGTGATTGTTTCAGGAACTTTCACTTTCCTGTTTGGAGGAGAAACTGGCAATGGAATCAGGATGCCAGATAGAATCTTAGTTCCATTGAAATTAAAAAAATTCCTGTTGACTTCACTGGTGCCAGGATTTGACCCCATATGTTTTCTTACTGCAAGTTAGTTGTTTAAAAAGTGTGTGCAAGTCCTTTTTTCCTTGGACAAGGTGATCACAAAAAGCAGACGGATCACACCCTCTTGCAGAGAACTCAGGTAAAATACTGCTGCACTGTCCCTGAGAAGCAGCTGTCTTGAGCCTCTGTCTTTCTAGGAATCCAGCTACTTAAGGTAGTATTCCCTGTCCTGCCTCAGCTCCTGGACTTTATCTGGGATTCCTGATGGTAATCACTTGGAGCCTACGTATCGACTCTCCTTTACATATAGCCTCTTTTGCATTACAAACCTCAGAAATGTTTCACTGTGTTTCAGCCTACACAGTCCTGTTAATGACTGCCTGGATGTGGGGGAAGATTTTGGTCTGAGTGCTCACACTCCAGTAATTATAACACTCAGGACATTAATATCTACTGCTGTAATGCTTGCAAACATGCTGTCTGTGCTCTGGAGGTGCAAAACTAAAGGTTCTGGGAGCTGAAGCTCAGGTAGGCAACACATTCCACTGTGTAACATCACAGTGCTACAGAACCAAGTGTATGCTGGGTGCTGTAGTCTGCTGTCATATCATTCTGAGCTACCTACTGGCTGTAAGCGCCATCATCAAATTAGCGTGCAATGTCCCTGATGGTAGAAGCTGGGCATACTGGAAACTGTAGGTATGTTAGCTTGTTAGCATGTGCCTGCCTGCAGCCTGACAGTGTATTCTTAAATAACTGCATGTTTCTGTGGTCCTCTTATCTTTGAAACAAGTCTCAGCAGGAGACACATGTGAAGTAGAAGCGCTCATCCCTAGTCTTGTAAAGGACTTGTTGTCTTCTGTTACAGCATTGACATGATTTTACTTCTCGTTATACTCACTCAGCTAAACAGCTCTGCACTGAAGTCCCCAGGCTTGTGCCAGGGCTGGACTTGGCTTCAAACTTTTACAATGTGTCACAACCCAATGATTTTGGTGCCTCGGCACGATGGAATTTTCCCGCCACATGAGAGCCTCTTGCACAGCAAAGGTTTTTCTGCTGCAAGAGAAAACCCCGGTGCAAGAGAGTTCCCACCATTTGAATGCAAATTTGTGTCCCGTTATTGGCCAGTTCTAAATTATTCCTACGTGGTGGCTAGTAATTGGCTTGCTAGCCGTTTAAAATTTCGTGCGACTTCCGCCCAAGTCGGAGAACTTTGAGCACGCTGCAGAGTGCCTCTAAAGAGATCTGACTTGCGGCTAAACTAATCGATAGACTGATCACCTATCGATTCTTCTCCCCGTCGCCGAGCTCAATCCTTCGACGTACCCTTTCCCTGCCGGCTTAATTTGTGGACGGATTCACTGGCCTGAGCCTTGCCAGCTGGAGCAACTCTCGGAGTTGTTTAAGCGACCGAACCACCTGCGTCGTGGCTACAAGCGGCGTAAGTAAAGCTCTTTGCAACCAATACGCGTTGTCTGCCTCTCCATTCACCAGCCCGCCCAGCGACCAAGTAATTTCTAAATCACCTCGAGTCGGCTCTGGCCGTCCGAGACACGATGAACATAAACTTATCTGCAAACTATGGGCAAGCACTGCAGGTGGCAGAGCCTTTCTGCTGGCAAATCCCTAATGCCAGGACACCGATTCCAGCTCCTTAATATGAGATGATGTGCCCCTAACCTAGGGGCCTGTATTGTTGTCACACTAGGGAGAATTTAGGGTCTATTTCTTCTCATTCTGGACATAATAGAAGGGCCTGCACAGACTTATCAGAGGCAAAAAATGCTGTAAACTGTAGAAAGAGGAATAAAAACTCCTACCGCTGACACTGTTTCATAATAGCCACTGTAAGGCATAGTTTTCAGGGCAAATGTAGACAACACTTCCCCCCAAATATGTTGGTTTATTTTTCTTGTCAAGTTCCACCACATTCCTGTAATTTCCTGATTTTTCAGGCCCCTTCCTGCTCTCATGATTTCCCAGTGAAAATCAGTGTTCGCTATCAGGAAACATCATGTTTCACACCTAAGTCAACATGCCTGCAACAACATTTGCCTTGACTTATGAGGTGAAAATGGATCAGTTTTTGCATCTCTGAACAGTCTAGCAGCTCTGTTGCTCCCTGGAGATGGAGAGAACTTTGCCCACAGAATCCAGGTCCAAACTTAGGCAAACTACTTCACAAATCCCATCTTGTGTGGTAGGCCATGATCAGCAGGGCCTGATTAGCTTGGACAGGAAATCTGTTTTCACCCAGTAAGATTAGCTCCCTTATGTCTTGTGCCTCCTCCCTGATGTGCTGGGAACTTGCTCTTTGTATTAGTTCAGCAATTACAAGCTCCATAATAGCACCCATTTGGTCAGGCCCTTTTCCAGCTTTAATAATGAACTAGACAAGACAGATACAGGTGGTATAAAGGAGCCAGACACCAGGCAGAGCGGACTGCAGAAGCCCCAAAGCTGATACGGAAGGATGGATGCCAGTCACCTCCAGGGCCAGGCTGCTCACCACAGAAATGGATCCACTGGTGCAGTTGGGGACTGGCAGATATGGAACAGATATGAAGCCCTGGCTGCACTGGAGGAGAGTGTGGTGGAGGAGACAGCATGGGAGGAGCCCCAACCCATCCCCGAGCAAGCTGATGGCCAGACAAGTTACCGGAGGAAAAGGAGACCTGTCGTCATAGTGGGAGACTCCCTACTGAGAGGAGCAGAGGGAAACATCTGCCACCCAGATCCCATGGTGTGTGAGGTGTGTTGGCTGCCAGGGACCAAGATCCAGGATGTCACAACAAGGATTCCTGGCCTGATCCAGCCCTAGGACTACTATCCCATGGTCCTCATCCATGTGGGAACCAATGATGCGGCCAGGAGTAGTTCTGACCATGTCATGGGTGGCTACAGGGTTCTGGGGGCCAGGCTTAGGAAGACGGGGACACAGGTGGTCTTCTTGTCCATCCTCCCGGTCAGAGGTCGCAGTAGGCATCACAGCGCCTGCATCAGAGAGGTCAACCTGCGGCTCAGGAGTTGGTGCCATCGTGCAGGATTTGGCTTCCTGGACCACAACCCACACTTCCTGGCAAGGGACTTCCTGGGGCGCGATGGACTTCACCTTTCAATGAAAGGTAAAAGTCTTTTCTCCAACAGGTTGGCTGATCTCCTACATCGGGTTTTAAACTAGCTCAGACGGGGGACGGGGAGGCAGAAGAAGGAGAATATCAGGAACCTGCAATCCATGGGACGTCCAGCAGTATACCACAGGTAAGCAATAGGTAAGCAATAAGGGGCCCATTGGGCATCAGAGCCGGGGGGCAACAAAGGCGCCAGTCACAGGGCTCAAGTGCCTGTACACCAATGCTAGGAGCATGGGGAACAAGCAGGATGAACTAGTGCTCCTGCTTGCAGAAAACACTTACGACTTAGTGGGGTTAACTGAAACCTGGTGGGACTCCACCCATGACTGGGCAGTACACATTGAGGGCTATAAGCTGTACAGAAAGGATAGAGTGGGGAGGAGAGAGGGAGGGGTTGCGCTTTGTCAAGGAGCGTTATACATCAACCCTTATCAAAATGGTATTGGAGGAGGAGAAAGTAGAAGGATTGTGGTTTGGGATACATGGAGGTCAAGCGGAAAGGGATTTGGTGGTAGGGGTCTGCTACAGACCCCCACACCAAGGGGAAGAACTAGACTTGGAACTCCTGAGGCAGCTCTCAGAGACCATACAGACTAGGGAGGCGGTAGTCACGGGGGACCTAAACTACCCTGAAATCTGCTGGGAGATGCAGACAGCAAATTCCCACTGTTCATGCAGGTTCCTATCCTGTGTACAGGACTTCCATCTGATGCAGGAGGTACATGGTCCCACTAGGGGGAATGCCTTACTGGACCTGGT